TACATTATCTACATATATGACTGCTTTAAATGATGCACTTATTTCTCTTTTATTTTATTCAATTAAAAAGACTTTTTTTGTGATGCCTTATGTATTTAACTCGTCGAGTACCGGTTTTATAGACACAATTAAAGAACAATAGGTTGCGGTCACCGGTGACCGCTTGGTGTTTGACAGTTTAATTGGGTGATTCTGCCTAGTGTCGAATTGCCATTTCAAACTTAAAGTAATTATAACATTAATTGATGTTCTGTACCTAATAATACTTACCTACTTTATCAGGAAATACCGTGACGTTATGTTACATTGCGTTATAATTTTAAACCCTATCGATCGGTATGCATCTTAATTTATAACATTTGTTTACAAGAGTGATTCTCAGGAATAATTTACAAGCAGTCACGCTATTTTAAAACATACTGCAAAATAAATAACTCTTAGATCAGGCGTCTGCGCACCGGATGCTATTCACACTGTTCTGGTTACGTCATAGTTGGGCCAAATTAAGAGCAATGTTCATAATTAGGCGTGTACACGTTTTTTTTTTTCAAATGCGTACCTTTTATGAGCATTAGTCTTCTGATGTTATTATTAGTCCGATTTTATTACCCGACTGTAACAAGGGTATTGTTTTTCGCGCATATCTTATACGTATGTATAAGTGTAATATTCTTTACTAGCGACCCGCCCCGGCTTCACAAGGGTGCAATATGCATGTATTATACATATAAACCTAATTTATTAAAGAAAACCGCATCAAAATCCGATGCGTAGTTTTAAAGATCTAAGCATACACAGGGATAGATAGACGGTGGATAGCGACTTTGTTTTATACTATGTAGTGATTACCTCGTTTTTTCTACACCACCCCACCGATTTAGACAATTATGATATATCGTTACAAGACTGTTCGTTTAAAACTTTAAAGTATATTTATTTCTTTTTCAATAGTTACAATATAGGTTTCAAATTAAACCACTCTCTAAGAGAATTTAAAAATGGTATAGGTGTCATGTCTATAATTAAAAAAATAGTACAAGACATTAATATACGTCCTTATTATTGACGTACAATCTAACACCTACTAATAAGGGGTGAGCCTATTGCCATATACCGGGCACGATTTCAGACTCCGTGCTGCTATTAAGATTTTTTAATGAAAATACCCAGTAATGCTTTGCCCACCGTGAAATCGAACCCGAGACCATTGGCCAGTCGCACAGTACTGCTAATAATGTCAATTTAGTATAACTATCACGGAATAACAATTATCTATTGTACCTGTCGGATTTGATTAGTTCCTGCATGTAATTACATGAACACTACGCGGGATAATTTAGTTTTTGACATGAATTAATTAATTCTCAACTATGATGATTACAGGTCATCCAATTGTAATCTATTGGCTAAATGTTAATATCATGTTACCTACATGAATCAATTCACTTACTCTATGTACTTTAAATTGATTTAATAGCAATAAATGAGAGAACAACGAATCTATATCTTTCCCACTTTGCCCATTTAGATCAAAGTTATAAGTTAGCGCCAGAAAAAATAATTAAAAAGACGTCAAAACTTATAAAAACTAGCTTAAAACTCTTTGCTTTATCTTTGACAGTAGTCGAAGACTTGGCGCAATCACTCCATTGAAAATTGGCTAGGCCAGATAAACGGAAGGACAAATAAAAAATGTGAATGTCTACCGATATCCTTAGGGAAGGACATTGTCACGAAACAGACGGGAAATATTGCAATATTAATCCGAAAAACAATAGAGTCAATGCTTGCTTATTGGTTACAATTTACAAAGTCTCTGCATGTATACTTACATACCAAGCGCCTAGCAGAAATTGGTTAGCAAGAATGTCACTATTGAGCTCGTATTCTTCGTATGCATTCCGCATGGTGCCTAATATCGGGCATTAGTGTCGTTCCGTATGCAAGTATTGCGAGTCCGTGGTAGGTATCGGCCCAATCGGCGCGCTTGTCGATAGCTCACGTATGCGGCTACTTACACTGTGCTACATTAAACATGTTTGTTCTTTGACCATTGGTGAACTTGGTACAGGTCCAGACGACTTGTTATTGATATCATTTCCTAGTGTTTCAGTGTAGCAATGAATATTGTAATAGAGATTTATTTTGGAGTCTATTTTGGTAAGAAAATTCCTTGCAAAGTTACGTTAAAATTTTGCAACCTTTATATTGAATTTCGTTCAGCTAAGGCTTGCATTAAATGCTATCAATATTTTAGTTTTGAACTTTATGTTGGCATCATCGCTCGTCCTAATTTCGGCACACAGCCTTTTTCACAGTTTGTCGGTTCTATCCATATCATGATTGTATTTTAAACAATGACATGGGGCGGTGTAGGATATCACAATGATTGTAAGACAATCTGACCTACATATTTCCTATCTAAATATAGCTTAACCTAATTACCGATGTTTCTGTTTTCGTGTTATTATTATTATTATTTAGACTATAACAATAGCAAGAAATCTATTATAGGTATGTCGTCATGCGTAATAATGTATGTGGGTGTGGGTAGACGTTGTTTAAATAAATAGCCCTCCGAATATTCTTCTACCTTTATACTCTGTTAGGTTAAACAGGAGGACGCCATCGCTATCTCAGTTTGTTTCTCGTGGTAAGTATTAGCATGTGCACGTATAGACGTAAATTTGGGTCATAACTACAAAAGTTGATTACAAATTGATTGTGCGTACTAGGTAGCAACATACGACACAATTAAACCGTTTGTGCGAAGCTGATAAGATAAAATATAAAGAAACGATAAGTTCACCATTTGTTTTGGTCACGATAGTTTTGAGAAGTAGGACCATAAAAGAGTTTACATCAAGGTGATATTGGACCTCAGAACCTAGTATTAGAGAAATATAGGTATTATGGGTAAGCAGTACTGTACTATGAGTGTGCCCACTTGTGCCTCCAGTTTGTTATTAATCCCAATTAGTAGACGAATATTATGTACTCTATGCACTCCACTCTGCTATGCATGATAATCTCTGTATCAAGAAATTTCATGTCGACTCCTAGAGGAACCCGTGCATAGTAACTATATCTACTAGACGAAAGTAACTAGAGGTTTTGAATTTCAACGTGGATATATAGAAGGGAAGACCATATGGATGATCATAGGAAAGATTGTGAGGTGATAGAAGAGAATAAAATCGGTGATGACTGTATAGATGAATGGTGGTACAGGAGAGAAGTAGATGGGTGATATGATGCTGTCTGATAGGAGAGCACGGATAGGAAGGAAGATATCGGATTATTGCTAATGACAAAAAATATTTAATTGGATTTTGTGAGTGTTGGTATAAAAGAAAAGAAGATTGACGATGTGATAATGTTTGTCGAGGTAGGGACGATAGAAATGAAGACAATGACCAAAGAAGAAAATGGTTACTCTTTGACTGGTGATATAGAAGAGAAGATAGATGATATAGTGATGTCTGATAAGGTAGAGCTATGATATATGTGCGCACTCATAGGTTAATTTGAGTTAAAACCCAAATGTTATCAATCTCAATTAGATATATTGTTGGGGAGAATTAATAGAAAAGAAGAGGACGACCAAAGCAAAAAATTTTTGGACTGTGTGAGAGGTGATATAGAAGGAAAGAGGAGGTTTATGATGTGATGGTGTCTGTCTGATAAAGGAGTGTGGTAGGAGGAAGAGGACATGTGAAAAGATTTATCCCAAGTATGAGTGGAAAGCAGTTCTTTATTAAAGTTTTGGGTTTGGATGTGAAATGAACAACACAATAGACAATCAACATATATATTCGTTACTTTTTTCTCGAGGTGTCTTAGAATTTACCCTCCGAACAACATTTTCTCTTCTTCACATATTTAATACATACGTAATGACTGTTTCATTATATGGCAAATATTTTGTTATATTCTGTCACTGAAAGAATTAAAACTATTTACTAAAGCTAGATTCTATATATTAATATTTAATAACATGGGATAGATCAGGGGTATAAAATAAATATGATCTTTTATAAACATTTTCTATGTGATAAATTAATTGATATTTGAGCATAGTAGGGTAAATTTTATCAAAAGTGAAGACGTAAAATATATCGTATACTCTGAAGTGTAAAATTTTACAGAAATACATATTTTCAATTTAGAGTAGAAATACTTTACAATGTAAAGGTTCTTAAAGGACTCACTAACCTTTGGGACGACAGCTGGGGAACATAACAATAATACATAGGAGATTACGTACCTACAGGGTTACAACATTGTAAACATCATCATACAATCAGATTATAATGATTTACTTTCTACAACAATAAATGCAGCGTTCTAGTCAACTATTAGTCTATTACTTCTACTGGAATAATTTTTAAAACACGTCTAGATCGGTTCAATACTGTTCTTTAATAATTATCATTATGTACTATAAGTTGTCTTTTAATACATCGATTAGTGCTATATTATATTGAAATGATTAAACATTGATATCGATTGTCCGTGAATCTTAGCAAGGTGTCGTTAGTTGAATCATTGTATGATAACATCGAATGTGGCTAATTTTCTTATTAAAAAGCGTAAATATATAAAGCATTGTTAAACAAGTAAACGAATCCAACAAAGGCTCGTACCAATAGATCACGCCGTGCGCTGCACGTATCAACATTAAGAATTAATAATTACAACTCGTAAATTATTTACAAATAAACATACAACAGTGTCTGGCACGACACATCACTCAAAGTACATACAAATTAAAGTAAACAAAATTAATATCACAGCAAAGAAATGTTTAAGCATCGTCTCGATTGTCGCGTCGATCATTCGCCCGTTTAGCTTGTTACACAGGGGTCCAATTCCATATAGAAGTCCTTACCACGTTGCCCGGGCGACGACGGCGGCGGTCGGCGATGCGTTTCTTTGCGAGGGCGTGTCTCACGAGCCCCGTCGCTGTGCGCTGGCGCCGGCCGCGCGTGGGCTAACCCTCAACCAAGCCGTAGCGACGTTCCTTCTCCTGGGTCCAGGGAGGTGGGTTTCTCGGGTAACGGACGATTCATCATTTTAGCTGATGTATTAGACGATGTTGATTTAATGGTTGACATTCCACGGGATCCAGTCGAGTTGTTCAATGTCTTAGGTGGCGAGCTAACTTGCGACCCAGACGAGGAATTCATTTTTTCACGAACCGCACGTAGGTATGGACCACGTGGCACCGCCTGCTCCGCAACCACGTCAGGCATATTGCCTAGCAATGTGCGTTTCTCTTTTTCGTTATTAGCAATTTCGGCATAGAGGTGTACCGCTAAATCTTTTGGTTCAAAATACTCGTGAACTAGAGCAGTCTGCCGATTGTACGGTGACAGCGGCAAGAGTTTGTCAAGAGATGGTGTTCGGGTTCCAATGCTGATCATTTGCTTTTTGTTCTTACCAATGCGAGGTGTTGTATTTTGGAATGGTAATTCGTAAATATTTTCCTCGACATTGATTAATTTAGGAACTATTGCGTTGCGATTTTCTTCAAGTTTCGTAAGCACGTACAAGTGCTCAATAGTTTCGCGAGCCTCTACATAATTTTCTGGGCTTTCTAATCGTTCTTTAAGATTTTCTAGAAGTTCCTTTGTTAATTCTTCAGGCAAAGTCTGCGTCGTTTTATCTTCTGTCGGAACAATTTCGTCATGTAGAGTAGATTCTTGAATAATGTCCTGAACGCGAGTTGGTTCATTTAGACAATGACGTTCAGAATATTCATTTACAGATAATCGGGATATAGATCGGGCATTATCTAGACCGGTAACTACTCCACACGTGCACATGCGCTCGCAAAACGTGCCGCAGGACGAGTTTGACGAAATTAGCAAGTTTTTTACATTAATGCAATATCCCTTACGGCGCATCCATCTAACAAAACTGATGATCATAACTATCACGACACAACCCAAACAAGTTACTATAACGATACCAATCACTTTCTTGTCTCGCTCACTTATGATTTGATCGTGTTTATTTTTGTGGGGAAATCTAGGATTTTTTATTTCAGTTGAACTTCCATCAGCTCTTCTCATATAAGATTCACAATGAAATGTTACTGAGTCTTTTTGGCATATGCCAGAATCAAGGAATTTGTTGAACAGAATATTTTGTTCGGGTTCGTTGAAACATCGAGCTAAAAACTCGTCCACTGTGCAATGACTTTCGGTCTTGTAAGGCTCACTAGACTCCGTTCCCAAGACTTCGTGCAACCAGTTACTAATATTGCAGTAACAAGTTTTTCCATAGTAGTTATCTTTATACACTACTGTGTACGCACCATTTGCTTCAGCTTGACCTATAAATTTGAGACTGTTAGGATGTGCAGTCTCTACTTCGTTCTCAATAAAAGTAAGGCGATGACCAGATTGTTCGTGTGTGAGTGTATCCAAAGCTACTATAGCATTAGGGACAAGTTCATCAAATGAATTTCTTTCTATCTGAAGATTGTTCCATGAAGACAGTTCTATGCTTCTCTCCATAAGTTGGTTGAATTCGGTGTCTCGGATAACAACAGATGCTACTGTAATATTGATTGCACCTGTGTCCATATTTTCAATCCTGAAATTAATAAAGTTTAGATTAAAGAAAGGTAATAGGGTCAATTTTACAGTCCTACCTATGCAATCTTAAAGTAGATAGTCCATAATTAATAAACGACATTACGTTGATGGTACTCACAAAGTATACGAAATATTAAGATTTCCGATGGCCGACTGAACTGCTCTTGAAGCGATTTGTTGGACTTTGCAACCGAAGAAATACAAGTTGTTAATCAGAGATCTTTGGGAGAATGCGTCTTCATCGATGTTCTGTACTGACGAGTTTAAAGCCATCACAATGTTGTAGGTGTTGGCAGAAAAAGCTCCAGCGAAGATCTCATTGATCTTAACGTTTTCGAATACTATTTCGGCAGCGGATGATCCAAAAGTCTGAGCAGGAATGGCGGGCAGGGAAATATTTTTCAGCCTGATCTGTAATAAGAAGAAGTTAACGTTATGAGAATGACGGTCTCAAATTAAAAAAAAAACATTAATATCGCATTTGCATATAATTCATTCGCCATGCGTCATTCGTTATGCTCCTACTTGCGCTGGAATGAAGATATACTGACCGACATCCCAGGCCCATGCTCGCCAACGTTGCTGGCTGACGGGTCCAGGGTGAAGGATCCGGGTCCGAGTTGCAGGGTACCGACATTGGTGATGTTCATGTTAAGCAACCACGAGAAAGCTTGACCCTCCGTCGACACAGTCTCGCAGTTTTCGATCGTTACTGACAGTGGTCCTGGAATCAATGAATAGACATTTTTACAAAATCTTATTTCCCATAAAGTCAAAAATTTTAATTGTATTTCTTGGTTTTGAATACGCAAGCAGCTGGAGCATATGACAATAAGAAAATAACAGCTTGTTTGTTATCAAACAGATTCTTAACCCTAATGTTAAAACGATACTACACTCTCCTTTCTCATGAGTCATTATCCTTTGGCATCCTTTCAATATCGAGTCGGGGAAATAGAGTATTTTTAGATGGCGATCCGCGGACTGTACGATGGCGCTCCTTTCCTGCTCGTCTATTGACATCGGTGGATTCCACGATTTGGACTTAGACTAATAAACTGTCATCTTTGTTATTTTGTGGAACGTTCACCTTAAAATTTCATTTTTTTGATTGGTTGTTATAAAAGAAAGAAACTGAATTTTGACTTGAATTTTCTTGTCGTTTCCCTCTTCGACTGTCGAATGCAGTGACATTAACAATATCGAGCTTTCTAAATGATATACCTACAAATGAATAAAACTTGTATAACGGTGTTTAAGTTCAGTTGAATGAGTCCATAGCTGTCGACCAGTAAATGAGACGCGAAAATACATGTTGCAAAGACAGTAATGTATAATATTGGTGCTTTCAAGGGGTCTTGCTAAGTGGTTGCGACATCAATCGAGAAAAGATTGCATTGGTACAGAACCAATGAAACTGGTTTCGAACCTGCGTGAAGTGGGTGAATTTAATGTCCTTAATTTTTTTAATGCAATTTTGCATCTAGATGCTGCTACTGATGGGCAAGCATAAATCATTGTTTAGTTTAATAAATACCGGTTCAGTACATTTTTATTCGTATCGTATTGTTTATTTTGGTTTAAAACTACCAAAACTCTTAAAGTGGAAATTGACACATTTTTATTGGCCATGTGATTTCATAACTAAACCACGGCAAAATGAAATATGTAGCTTTAAAAAGTAATTCATCTTATCATTTCATTGTTAGTTGGCGTTGCAAGCAATTTAAAAGCGTAAATATTCTCGAATTTCCTTTTTGTCATTCATTCATTTCGCATTTGTAATGTTGCAGTGGGATACTATAAATAGCCACCTAATTTACTAACGTAGCCACGAACTTATTACTATTATTCGCTTTACAGATTCATCATTGAGTCTTTACAAATCGTTTTAACAATAACTTTATAATTTACAACTGAACATGCATAATAATGCTTCTAATTATTTTATGTTGAAAATGGCCACAGCAAAAATTGGTGTACACACAGATGAAAGTAATCGACCATTTCTACCAGTAATAGTTAAAATAGCGAACCAATATTTGTGTATTTAGGCAGCATGAATGAGTCTAGGTAGTTAGAGAGGCTAACCAACAAGCAGAAAGGGCAACATGTTGCGAATAGCTGGATAGGTGCGAATGACATGAATGCTGTAATGAACGAGCGAACCGAACGCACTATAGCTACTGCCATGCTATTCATTGGGTTCCTTCGAACCCTGCCGACAGTCTATCCATGCGTCCCCCATTGTCCTTACAGTGGCTTACATACACGATAACTGGTGGTTAGAACAGTGTTATACATTGAATAAGTAATTTAAAGCACAATGTACATTTTCACTGGCGAATAATGTTATAAAAACATGTCTTTTTAATTTGGAGCAAATAGACAAAAGCGGTTAAAGCTATTTTCAGTTCACGTTACTTCTATTCATAGAAAAATCCATATTGGTAGTTACAAAACTTCCGTTGTACGTAAATAAAAACAACCATCCATCGGTTTTTCTGATACATATCACATTTTTCAATTATTCAGATTTCTTGGTTGGCTGACTGCTCTCAAATACGGTATTAATATTGGGGTCGAGAACTCGACAGTCTGTCCGTTTTATTATTGGAAGTATGGGACTGACACTAGTGACACGATGGAACAAAAGGTCCAGCCTACACCGTAGTAGGAATGTACTGAGGTGTCCGAAGTGTAAACGAGGGTGCTTCCAAGTTGCAGTACGCACTTTTTTTATTGTGCTTTTGTTGTATGGGCAAATGGAAGAATTTCCGTGTGGCACAGCATACTCTCAACAGAGACGAAGATGAGATGTATTTATAACGAAATTCTATTGGTTGTTAAAAAAACATCTTCGTTCTGCTCGTCTCATCCATATTTGGTGGAGTAGGGACTAAAGTTTGCTGTATAGTAGAGCTTCTAATAATGGAACCACTTTGCAGGTTGAATATTGTTGGCGTTCCCGAAACAACCTGTTTACATTGTTTTACATGCGTTTGGTTATAAATTTCGAGACGGTTTCCCTATTTTGGGAGAGCACACTATGTTAAGCCTTCATTTAGTTCATGTATCACGCAGCGTCTTCCGTGCCACTCTAGAATTGCTAGACTATGATGTTGACCTATTCAAGCCACACACATGTTCCTTGTACCAATTTCCAAACAATTATTATTAGGGACGTTAAAATTTACTTTCAATCAGTCGCTAAAATTTTAATGGCTGAACGTAGTTTATTTCTACCATGAAAAATTCTGAATTCCAATTTGTTATTTTAAGTATAAACGCATCTTTCATTCGTTTCATGGTGCGACGATGTAAAAGCAAAGCACAAGAGAAAAGTATTAGTAGTAATTCCTCATTGTCAGGTGCCGTTTTCTCTGATAATGGTGTGTTATCTAGCCGCTGACCCATGTACTATCAAATTCATACTGATATAGCAGTAACTGTAATCAGTTACTAAGAAATACGTAAACCGACTCTGTTCACAACACCGTACAGATGTTAAGCACATAATTAAGCGGCGAGTTATTCGACAGTAATGCAATACAAACACATTAATACACACACATACATATAAGTATGTAGGTCTTTATGAACGGCGGGGACACAGAAATAGTCCAGAATTAGTCATCCAGCCGCGCTCAAGCCACGCTGTGTGTAATGTTGAACAAACTTTGTACAACTTGCGGATTATACTTTATTGTTTCAATGTCTGATTTATTTCGAAACAGCCATATTTGAAATTTACGTCGAAATTTTCACTTAAATATGTGCTAGTCGGTGCTCTCTGAGTTCGTATATCGTCCGTCACTAGGAATGCCTTTGAAACTAACGAATGCCTCTACGTCGTGGTCAACAAATTACTCATTTCATGGCGTATGCACAGTCCAGTACCTACTATGTATTTCGAGTGTAAGCGGGCTTGCATTTCCACGATAAATAATGCTGGCTACTGAAATCTACATTCTAAATTTGAATTTAGACCAAGATCTGTGAGATAAGTTCAGTGATAAATACAGAAGTAAATTGTTTGTAATCTCAAAAGAATGTGCATAATACAATATTGCATTGTTTTACGTCGCGAGCTGCCAAAGTCCACGTTTACTTTCTGCAATAATTATACGGCAGTAATTTTTATACCTATCCGCTATGCTACGTTGTTTTATCGCAATTTGAAATATACATAATACGTAAGTGATGTTTTGATTACGTAAGGACAAATCAATCATCCGTAATAGTATTTACGTAGGTTAGACGAAACAAATCATGACGTCATTGTATTCGGTAGACCTAGACTTAGAAATTAGGTACCTGTCTAGACACAGGCTTTTTATACAAACATTTTGGATAATAGTTGATGTTCGAACATGTACCTATGTATGCTCTAGTAAAACCCGCATGTGATAATGTTGGTTTATTTCGAGAGGCCGCAAGCGTTTCCCGTATTGCCATCCCTAGCAAACGTTGCGGACACACCGGCACCACCTCCTGGAAACCACAATGTGGTATATTTTGTTTACACTCAGACGACGCTAGGCGTAATTAGTGGCGTAGGTAGCTTACTAATCGTAAATATAGCACATCTAGTACGTATAAAGCTACCTGCTAACTTCGATCATTATCTACTTCCACACTCTAACGAAGTTTTCATAAAACTCCTTCAAAGAGCTTTCATCATTATATTTTAATACGTGCTTCAAGACTCTTGAGCTGAATACCATTCAGGTGGATGCTGCACACTATTGCATTTGTTTCACTTCTAACTAAAATACGTGGAGAGCTGTTAGGAAATTCTTGACTTATTGACACATTCCGCCTTCAAGTCTGCACAACTCTAACCACATTTACAGAAATAACTGTTTGGTACACGATTGTAAGATCCTATATCCGGAACATTGCTTCCAAATCGCGTGAGATTATTGATTTTGACTTTTAAGTAAGCGGTCATTGATCTAATGGCCCAGTCTTCTCTATATTTGGTTAGTGAGCGAAGAGACAGTTTATTGTATAATATTTTTTGTCGTGGCGTGGTATGTCATGTGCGTCAGTGCACAGCTTCTGTCCACATGTCGGCGGGTTGCGACATGGCATCGCTTCAAATGATACATGCGAGCTATGAGCATGCGACGTATGTGCATTACAGGAAACAAGCTGCAGTACTAATTTCTATTTTGCCACGAAAATCGACTTTACTCGGTAGAGAAAATGGTCCTTTTGTGAATATTCAGTTTCATTAAAGTGAAATTGATTTCATCATTCACGCATGTTGTACTTGCATCGTGCTATTGTGTTATTGCCTGTACCCTGCAATAATCGCCTTATAGCCGACAGCAAATTATTGTTGTATATTGGTACAATATTGGTAAATTTAGACGAACTTTAATGGTATGAAAGCTCACTGAAGTACTAATTTATTCTATTCATATAAAGTACATATTTTTTAATAATAAAAATGTAATTTTCGTAATTAGTTGGAAGCTGAAGTTCACTGATGAACAAACACTTTCCTTTAAAACCAAAAATACTTAAATAAAACTGATATTAAGTAATAAATATGATAAAATTATGATCGGCAAAGAACAAACATGTTAAGCATTTACAATGGCTGTTGAAAGTTGAAACTATAATCCTACTCTTTAGTTCGGAGCTGGGAGAACCTGACTCGCTCGACTGCATCGATTAAAACGAGGTAATTCTCACTCCTCGCAACTACCATAA